ATCTACATCTATTTTCAATTTGCTCACCAGCTTTCACTAAAGGTTTTATTATTATCGGGATTGTATTTCCCAAATGGGTGATGGTAAAAAAACCAGAAAATTCAGTCTTCATGTGTCACATTGATCACACATAGGAAATGAAGCTTTCAAGACATCTGCAGTCTTATCAAATTTATGTTATGAAATATTAAGGGGCCAAGACTTCCCTCAGCTGTCATTTTTTCTTCCCCATCGTGGGATAGGTAGATATTATCTGCCATATTTTTCTGATGAAAGAATGTGCTTGTCTGTTGCTGTGAAGTGAGATGATGGTAATGAAGAGAAGAACTTAGGCTTTCACTCTAGTTCCCCATTCAGCAACCCTTTCCTAGCATCAGTGCAGAGGATGAAGCCAGCTGAGGGTGCATAAACTTACAGTATGCAATGCTACTAGAAAGTGATGTCTTAGAATGATAAAAATAGATTTGAGCTGCAAAACCCTTAAAGCTGTCTAAGATGTAAGATATGCATCTTGTTTCAGGTTCATATGTATCCATGGTCTGGTTATGATATATTCCTCTACTTCTCATCTACATATCTTCAAATCAGGTGAAATTCCACGTGTATTGAAGAAAGTCTGTGAAAATCTCTTGGAGCAAGTGTATTTTCATGCCAAGGTGACTTAATCTTGCAGACTTAGGTGGCTCTACATCAGGCTGTGAGAATGGAATTGGAGGTAATAGTCTACTCTGTGCACAGCTGCTTTCATTTCTACAGTATTAATTCCTCTCCTGTTGAGAAGCTGAAACCATTATATTTTTAGTTTGTAGCTGATTAGAAAGTTACTCAAAATTCTCTTTGTTACTGTTTCTCTACAACCTTGTATCTACTGTATAAGATCTTCAGTGCCATCATCTGACATGGGAGAGTAGCTGAAGCTCTCCCTGAGCATCATCTATATGGGAGAAGGAATTTCCCTGCCAAATTGACCTGAAGAAAAAACAGGAACATATTCTTGGTGATCTTCTCACATACTTTCTGCATATCTACTAGTGACCAGGAAAACTGGAGGATTTTGTAATGGTATGGACTTGCATCTTAATGTATTTTACTTCAGAGAAAGGCACCAAAGCCCCATCTTCCTTCCTTAACTTTTTCCTCTGTAGGCTGCTTTATGCAAATCCTGACCCTGATCTAACTCTCTCCCTCATGTCTTCAAGTTGTTTTAACATCTGATTCCTGTGACTATCACTCATAGCTTTGTCACTGCTAACCTGCATTTTTTTTTAACCCTTCTGCACTGGCCAAAGAGATAGAACATAACATATAAAATGAATAATCTAATGAACCTTGGCCATTTACTGGAACAGTGCTTCCTGGGGTAACTGTGCTGCTAGCTAATGTGGCTTTAGACATGTCAAGATGAGCATCAGATGTTCCTCACTGACCCAAGGGTGAACTTATCAGTCTACTCTGGTGAATACTGTGAGGTGAAGAACCCTCTTTTGCAGAACATGCTGGGCTACAGAGACCTCACTGGGTGCACGAAGGTTTTCCAGTTCCTATGAAAGAGAAGGAACCGTATTTTTGATGCTTGAGCATGATTCAGGTGCCTCAGGTACCACTACTCATCCTGATTGATCCTGTTTGTAAGTGGGAATAACATCTTCAAAAGTGGTTAAAGGATCCTGGGTAAAGAAAGAGGGAAGAAAAAGTGGGAAGTCTTGTTTTATAACTTACATTTAATTCAATTAAGTTGAGGACTTATTTGAGGGGAACAAGTCATGTATGTTTGATATGACAAAACAAAGTGCAGACACAGGTTCTGCTACTGCCCTAAAGCAGCTCAGACCCCACTCTCAGTCTCCACAGGTCAGCCCTAGGGAGCTGACATGAATCTCATGGTGCAAAAACTAGACCATTGCATTTCTCTCTTGCTACCTGTTTGATATGAGCAGTGATGAAAAGGCCTTGGACTTTGTCCGCAGCACAGAGAACGCTTTGCTCTCATCATAGTGGGTGTAGGATTCAAGCCCCTGAAAAACAAATGGTCATTTGCTTTCCCAGTCAACTCTCACTCAGTTTTGTACTTCAACAACAAGAACGACAACAACAAAAGTGAAGAAGGGTTTAAAATAGAGTACACTTTCTAAAAAAAAAATATTATGATGATCTAACAATGTTAAATACAAATCTCAGCTGTGCTGGTCTGTTGAGATCACAAACCTTAGGCATAGCAAGGAGTATTCTTGAATACATCAAAGCCTTGTCAGCATCTTTTCGCATTTAATGCAAGACATTACAAGTTAATGAAGAGGAGAAACGTATGCAGTGTTGCTGTAAACCAAATATACAGATGTAAAATAATTAAGAATAACCTGTTCTGTAAAAATGCATGTCAATAAAACCCAGTCTGATAAAGTGATTTATGAACAGTTTTCTAGAATCACTAAAAAGAATGATTTCTCATTTGAGGCTCTGGAAGTCTTGAGTCACATTTTTTTTCTTTTAAAAAATGTCTTAAAACACATGGCTTTACAGCTGCTGCTTGGAAAATATACACCTCCAAAGTCTGACTTTCATTTAAATACAAATGTACAAAATGTAAACTGAGACAATAGAGAAATTTACAAAACTTTTCTTTAAAAATAATAAAGACAAAATTCAGTTCTAGTATGATGCTATTTAAATACGTGCAAGTAGTCATGTTCATTGAATTTCTACTGCAATGTTCTAAATAGACAAATTTGATTCACACAGTCTTGAGTGCCACCTCCAGAAACAGACCTGAGTGGAAATTTCTTCTTAAAATGCGAGGCTCCACTGGAAGGAATGGGTAGAAAATCTCCATTTGGGGGAGATTCTTTTTTTTTTCACTCAGTGGTGGATGCTCTCTCATCCATAGAAGCTTCATAGATTATAGTGGAAGGACGCAATGTTTGATAAAACTGAGTCACAACTAGCTGCTTCCAGTGGAGTTTGAACTCACGTGATTTGAATTTATGTGGTGATTTAAACCGGCCTTCGAATTTGAAGAACTCTTTGAATTGTTCTGATGCTACAGAAAGATGAAAAAAATGACAATTAGCTTCTGTAAATGTGCCAAGCTTTTCATTTGATGGTGATAATGCACTGAATGCCCTGTAAGATCTTTGCATGAAGAACTCAGGGTGTAAAATATTCTTTACTTTCTTACATGTATTCTCTCTAGGTCAGGAGGACCATGGGAGTTCTTGAGACACATGAATTCCAGGAGTAAAGTCAATTCATTGCAAAATATCAGTATCTGCTAAATCTGATTTAGAGAGGCTACCCACCAATGATGAGGCACAGCTTTTACCCTACAGAAATACAGAAATCAGTCTAGGAATGTTATTTGGATTTGCCACAGTGCCACGTCAAAGCTGTATGTCACAAACTCTCTGACTTCACAGAATCATTGAATCATTAAGGTCAAAAGAGACCTCTATGATCTTTTAATACAACTGTCTTGGTTGGACTTTGCTCTCCTTTATAGAGTCCTGGATTAGAGCCTTGACTACGTCATTCAGCTTTTGAATTTTTTAACACATAAATCAAGAGTTTTTAAGGAACTTATAAAAAAACATTTCAAAAAGCATTTCAGTAGACCACTGAAAAATAGTTCGAGTATGAAGTTTTCAGCCACTGGAAACAAAGCTGATGAAAAAAAACAAAGGTTCTGGTCATTAAAGAAAATATCACAAGAAATAGGCAGGAAATTTGTGACTATGCAGTATTAGTCAGGAAGCTGCCAGGTAACCATAACAGCCAACCCTCTCTAAGGTGTACTGTCTTCGTCACAGCAAAAATACCAGTAGAACATGGACGTGACACTGGCCATCCAGACCAGTGTTCCTGATTTTAGTAAAAGAATATCTCACCTGTCGTTTAAATATTCTCTGTAGCAGTCCTTTCTTGGGTGGCTCCGGGGGGTAGCTTTTATTTAGGTCTGGTGAAATAGTACCATTTGGTCCAAACACATTTAGTTCTTTAAAACACTCCGTTTCTATCATCTAGTGTAATACAATAAGAAACAAGTCTGCATTAAATATATTCCAGAAGTACCAGTTTGTCCAAAGTCAGGATTGGGATCACTATCTGCCATCAAAGGCTTGAGCAATATATTAGGAAATTTAACAGTTGAGCTCCTGTTGGTGGCTATGGAAGGTAAGTATGTGGTATGAAAAAGAGGCTGAATCTGCTCTGTAGTTTGCACATCAGTCTTACTAGGGCTGCCCCACATAACTTTCCATTATATTCTTTACTACTGTGGAGAATATTAGGTAAATTCAGGCATACCCACAAAATGCCTGTGGGCACCCCTCTCCCCAAGAGGATCTGCTGTTTGACGTAGAGTTGGATTTACGAAACCAACTGTTCATTCTGCTTTCATATCAAATAGAAATAAAGATTCAGATCTGGAAACCCTGGAACAATTCAAGATTCAGCCTGCAGATACTGTTGCAGCTGTGGACCTACTGCAGGTTCAGAACAATAGGTGAGATGAGGATCACAAATGGAGGAGCTTCCATTAGGACCTCCATCCATCCTGTGGAAGTTCCTCTGAGCTGCTGTCAAAATACCTCAGTAGAAATACAGGAGAAGGAAGTACAGTAGGTTCCTTGCCAATTTACACAAATATGCACAGCCAACAGATACAGCCACCTGAACTTGACATCTGTGGTACATTATAGATCTTGAAAGAGGCCATTTGTAACTCATGAAATCATTAGAGTCTGGCAAGTTATCCAGTAGTTATATATTAGTAGAAATATATAGCTTCTCTTAAAACATCTGTTAGGGGTTTTATTGGAGTCATCTTACTATGACACATCCTTACCTCATTTTGCCATGGAATAGACACAGATCCTGTGGAAAACTTGGAATAGAAATCATCATCTGTCTGGTCCAGGTTTACTCCTTTCACTGTGGAGAATTGCTCGATGTCTAACACATCCTTGCAGTATACTGCTCTGGGCTATCTCAGCAGAAGAATTAGAAAACAGCAAGAGAAAGAATAATTCCCAGTCTGACCATGTGCTTTTTTCCAGTTTCAGACAAGTGAGAACGACTCACAACAAGTGACTATTTGCATCCTGCTTCTCTAGACTTGCTCTGCCTGCATGTTTATCATCAAAGGCTGGTTTTGCTTTAAGCACGTTAAGAGTCCCACTTTGAAGTCTTTAAAGCATCAGTGCAGCCAAAGTGGGTTTTAGTCATCCATATAGCATATGGCAAAGAGGTGAGAGAAAAAGGACAGAAAGTGCAAGAAAATAAAAATCAAATCCTTCAGTACATTTTTTAGAGATGGAAGAACAGAATATTGAGTGACATACTGGAGACAGCTCTGAAAATGGACCTCAAATAGAAGTGTTCTGCTCAGATAGCTGCAGGTTTTGCAGTTTAAAAATTTAAAGGAATGTATTCCAACTGCTAAAGAAAACAGAAGAGGTTTGGCATTTTTCCATTGTTTTTATTAATAGCTCAGCTGCTGGAAGCTGTCCAGAATCACCTCTATTAACTCTTTTAACTTGGCTGCATTTCTTCAAATAAATAGTCAAATGGCTTCACCTTTTAAAACTACTTAATTTTCTGGGATTACAGGCAGGAAAATTTGCAGTGATGCTCTTTTAGCTAATATTCCATCAGTCAGCCATAGAAAACAGAAAAAGTCATCACTAGCTACCTGATATAGAGTGGTCACTTGTGTGCTTAGAGAGCTTCCATTAGCAACACAGAGCTACATTTTGGTGCACAGGAATCACTGAGGGCTGGTTTGAGGGACTAGCCCAACCACCAAAATCAAGAACAGGTTGAATTGTACTGTCAACACAGGGTACAGTGACTGCAAGACCAGTGGGCTGAATGCAGTATTTTATCTGGAGCTGAGCACTGTGACCAATAAATCAAACTAACTCCTGATGAAAGTCCTATCTGCTGGAGGCTGCATCCCTCTGCCTTTCTGAAGACTGCAATCCACAGCATTTTTGTGGAGACATAGAAGACTGGAAGAGGATGGAGAAATATGGGTTAGATTACAACTTCTGCCATTGGCTATGTAGCTTTGGGCAATTCATCTGACTTCAGTAAATACTTGGAAATCTATGGATGAAGTGCCAAATAATTTAAATTAGGGCCAGCTCCTGAGTTCCCAATAAATAGCCATAAAAATTTATGCGTCCCGGCTTCAGCAAATATGTCTCTAAGAGGTGCCTTCTGGGCCTTACATGCCACAGTTAAGCTTTTAATACACTCTGGCAAATCCCAAATTTCAGCCCAGAATTTTCTAATTTTCTACATCAGAAAGAAATAGTAGCTTGTCTCCTATTTCTTCCCACTAAAGCAGGTCATAACACCATGGGCTAATTGGCAGGAATAACTAGGCCACATAGTAAAATGTAAAGCAAAACCAGAGCAGCTAAAGTAAACTTTTGTAGCTTTTAAACCACTTTGGTTTGGTTGAGTTTGCAGCAATGTGAATGAGAGCTGCCAAGATGTTACTTTTCTTAATATGTTAAAATGGCAGTGTTTCCTTAGAACCGTATGGGAACTTTTAAGACAGGAGGCCTAGCCAGAAAGAAAGCCCTGCAGGAGGAAAATACTCAGATAACTCTGTGCACTGGGGTAGAGAGCTGTACCACAGAAGGGTGGAAAAAGTTTTCTTATTACCAATGCAACAAAGACTTTCAGTATGTGCAAGACTGGAATATAGGTAAGGACTCAGTGTTGGGTTCTATTCCCCATGAGCACTAGCAAGTTCAGAACACTGTCTCAGGTCCAAGCGTTCTGCCTGAGGAGACACTTGATATCTGAACCTGCTTCTGATTTTTTGTAACAAATGTCTTTTTTTAATAAGAATCCCATGCATTCCTCAGCTCTTTAGAGCTTTGGACTTTATAGTTCTGATCTTACCTTTGTATACATATCTATACACCTATATGTATTCTCACGGCTTACACCAGTGATTTTTCCCTGCACAGTCTGGTCCTAAACATATTCATTCTCTCACTAATACTGCAGACAAGGGAGCAGAAAGATTCCAAGTTTAAAGTTCGGGAACTGAGGCACGAGTGCTACAATTGTTGCCTCCAGTATCATACAGGAAGACTGTAAAGTTAGCGGGAATGAAGCAAGACCCAGGATAACATCCTTCATAGGGACCCAACCACCATGCATGCACCCATGTCTATGGAGCAGCTCTCCTCTCCAGCCTCCCATCTCCAGCCCTATTGCTTATCACATCTTCCTAGGTCTGGTACCCATAGATATAGTGATGACATTTCTAAAAAAGATAAGTTTTGGAAACAACTCTCTTGAAATAGGCCAGTGGGTGTCCCGTACTTACATCAGGGACAAAGGGAGGATCCAGCATTCCTGCTTCTAACCGCTTGAAATTCATGCTTTTAAAAAAAGGGTGCCTCTTCACTTCTGTTGCACCTTCACCTTGACAGCCCAGCCGCTGCTTCACATCTTTGGTGAGGAGCTGAAATATGCCAAGAAGATGGGCAAAAATGTTAGAATAGGAAGAGATTTTCAATAATATTTATATCTGCAGTCATTTTTGAATATGCCCAGAGGGATGCGCAGAGGAGAATTGTAATTGCTGCTATTTAATGGCCAAACTAAAATGGATTAGGATACCACTGTTCCAAGTGCTGGTTCAAACCTTTGGAAATTACCTGCGCTGAAGTGTTTGAAGTCAAAATAGTGATTGCTTCTTCTGCTTCCTTTCAGCAAATACTTTCCAGACAAGGTCTGACATACTCATAATACATATATATTCATAAGTCCCATTTGCTTTATCTCTGTTCTTTCTTCTTCTTTTTTTCATCGCACTCTTGTAAGAATAGTTTTCCTGTGCTGCTCAGGGTGGGTTACTTCACTACCAAATTATATTCTCCTCCATTCAGTGCAGAATACTATGTTCTCACGGGCCCATCTCTGCTGAAGCCAAGGGGTATTTTGTCCATGGCACTACAAGGTTGCATCCAGAAGATAGCTCAGAGAACCAGTACTAGTAACCACCCTCAGTTCAGCTTTGTTTGTTTTCAGAGCAGGGCAGTGCACCGCCAATTCCTGCTACAGCAAGTCCTGCCTACTTCCTGGGTACTCATAATGGAGCAAAGAAGATTGACCAAACTCAGCTGCCTCAGTGTGTAAGATAGGCAGGTCCATATACACAAACACAGGGATGGCAGATCCTGGAGGACCTTGTATGGATGAAGCAATTTAACTGCACGAAAACAGTTAAGTGGAAGAACACTTCTGGCACGTGCTAGTCGGTGGATAAAAAAAGAGATTATGCAGCCAATTCTTCAGCAGAATGCCTCTTCTTTTATGTCATGCGTATAGAATCAAGCAGGCTAAATCAGTGTCTTACGAGAGCATATCTAACAGCTGAAGAGGGGGCAGAGCTCAGCACACAGATGACTGCTGCAAAACGATGATCGTTTGTGACAAGGACCTTTCTCAGTGCACCGCTGACTTCAGGCAATGCAATGAAAAGGGAATGTTAACAAAATCGTTTCCATTTATTCCTTCCATTCAACTTCAAGGAAGTCTGCATGTATTCCCCTTGGTACAGCAGAGAAGTGTAACTCAGAGCTCATTGTAATCTGCCTGGACATTTCAGCTGCCTGTTAAAAGAGATGCATTACGTGTGCCTTAGCACAACAGAAAACGAGGTGTATACTGAAGATAGTTGTGTTTACAAAAGCGTTTAGATTAGTTCTGCTGGAGTCTCCGCTGTGAGGGAAAGACTAAATCCATGCATGAGGAAATAAAAACTCCAGTCCATTTCCGTGAGAAGGGTGTCTCCTGGAGTCAGGCATGCAGCCAGGGTGACAGGTATGCACACACTGCTCAGCTCTTTTGATACTCTGATTTTTAAGTGACTGCTAGAGCTAGGGGCCGAGGCATTAACCCAAGCCGGTAGGGCGGCCTTCAAGCCCACCGCTACCCCACAACCGGCTGGGAAGGGAAGAGCAAGGGCCAGGAGCGACGGGGCTGAAGCGGCTCCGGCGGAGTGGGGCGCGACTGCCGGGAGGGCCGGCGACCGCCGGGGGGCAGTAGAGGAAAAAGCAGCGCTGCGGAGTGCGGCAGCGGGCGGCGAGGCCTTCCGGTGCCCCGCAGATGGGACTCGATGGGTGAAGGGGCTCGGAGTTGTGCCGGGGACTCTTCTGCGGGGCAGGGGTTGTGGTGCCTGGGGGAAGAAAGGCTCACGTCTTGCTTCCTCTCCCGTATCCTGCTTTTCTGCTCCAACGCTAGAGCTGCGGTGTAGTAATCATCTCTCTTGCTTTCCCCACATGGTGTGTGCAGACAGAGCTCATTGAAACGATTAGCAAAACTCCCCGGTCTTGCCCAAGGGAGACTCTTCTGCCGTACATGTCAGAGGAGTGGTTTGGGTTTCCCGAGCATCTGTGACTACCATGGTACCGAGCCCTTGGGAGTCCTACAGGTGCTCTTAATACTCGTTGCATGTGAAAGCCAGGGCAGTCCTGGCTGGGGCTTACTTAGAATGCAAGAAGCAAATGGCTCTGGGAGGGCTGAAGAGAAGAAGCAGTGTTTTACGAGATCAGGTAAAAAATCAGCCTTGCTTTGCTCCTGGTTGGGAACCAGGAGCCATGCAGCTTCCCTGCTTAGGACAGGGTTGTCCAGAGATGCTGACATCTCTCTTCAGGAGAGCTCCTGGAGAGGCACAACAGAAAGAAAATAAGAAACTAGGAAATTTTGGTAAGCTCTAGATAAAGCCAGCTCTAGAAATGACAACAGATGAAACTAGATGCATCTTGTGGATGCTAAGAGGTAGGAGGGAGAATAATGAGTCTTGTAACATTTCCTGCAGCTTCAGAAGAATTCTGTAATTGTAAACATGCATGTGAGCCTGAAATGTGCATTCCATTTGGGAATCTCTCCAGGAAAAGAAAATGGAGATGACACACATTTTGAGTAATCTCTACAGGTTTTTGTGCTTTTTATTTTTTTAATTCCTTTTCAAAGTATGTATTTAAAACGAAGAGAGCAGAATAAAAGCAACTACATCAGTCTGATGATAAGCCCTCCTAGGATGGTAATGCAGTGATCCAATCATACACAGTTTCCAGCTAATTTTACAGCCAGAGCCTATGGAGAATTCAACTGTGCTGCAGATTTGAAGATGGCTTAGGTCATCCAATCATGCATGAAGTTGATACCAAGCAGCAGAGCTTTATATCCTGGTAATAAAGGCTCCAGATGGTACTGGATATATGTAAGTAAGGGTTTAGTCTAGCCTTCAGACAAAGCTTGACTAGAATAGGTCTTTCAAAGAAAAGTCCTGAGTAGCTTTGGTGAAATTACGTTAAAGTTCTTTTTCATGATGTAAAGATTTCTGATATGAGTGATGTAAAAGTATCAAAATTTGATCCCATCCGGGGATTCAAACTATGCAATGTCTGGGACTTTTTCCAGGACTTTATTTTGTTCATAGGACACTCCCTTTTAGAGGGGAACAGAAGGCCCAATTTGCAGAACTGATCCTTCCCATAGGGAAGTCTGCTGCCTCCATGGGGCCTGGGGAGGAAGCAGTCTAGGAGGTTTCTGGAGCACGTGGAAGATAATTTCCTGACACAGCTAGTAAGAGAGCCTAGCAGGGGATGCTCTCTAGACCTGCTGTTTACAGAGAAGGACTGGCAAGAGACAGTGGTCAGAAGCGCTCTTGGGCATAGCACCCACAAAATGATAGAGCTGTCTATTCTTGGTGAGGTCATGAGGGGGGCCAGCAAAACTGTTACTTTGACCTTCCAGAAGGCAGACTTTGGGCTGTTAGGGAAATTGGTTTGGAGGGTCCCACAGGAGATGGTCCTGAAGGGCAAAAGTGTCCAGGAAGATTCCTGAAGAAGGGACTCTAAAGGGTGCAGGAGAAGGCCGTCCCCATGTGTGCTGAAATGAACCAGTGTGGAAGAAGACCAGCCTGACTGAACAGGGAGCTTTCACAGAAACTGGGGGAAAAAGAATTTACCACCTTTGGAAGAAAGAGCAGGAACTTGAGAAGAGTACAGGGATGTTGCTAGGATGTGCAGCGAGAAAATCAGAACTTAATCTGGCCACCATTGCAAAAGATAACAAAAGGTGTTTTTACAAATGCATTAACAACAAAAGGAGGCCAAGGAGAATCATAGCCCAGTGTAGCCCAAAGCAGAAGAAACAAATCTCCCTTATGCATGAGTGATAATAAAGCTTATTGCAAAGGCTTACAATAGAAGATTTATTAATCATTGCTATCATCTTTTGCAACAGCAATAATAATCATTTGAAGAGTGAGTTATTCTGCCAAGAATTATTCTCAGGCAATACTAATAAGCTTTAAAGTGTAAAAATGTGTGGATAAGTTGGCTTCCAGGGACAAAAACAGAGAGGAGGGATGAAAGCAGCCTGTAGTAGTTGTAGAAAGATAATAGTGTTTCTGGTGGTGTGTGAAAGATAGAAGAGATTGCTTTTATGAAGAAAAGAAACCATCGTCTTTCATTTGTCTGGGGAGGCACTTCAGGAAGGAAACAATTACAAAACTGCTGAGGTTTGGAAGGGACCTCTGGCTGGTGTCTAGTCCAACTCTGGTTCTTCTCAGAGTTGCTATGAGCAGGTGCAAGGCCCCGCTCAGTGTTGGTTGTCCTCAAGTTTGAAAACTCCACAGCCCATTTTGGCAACCTGTCCCAGAGTCTGACTGCCTCCACAGGGATAAAGCATTTCTTGATGTTCAGAGGAAGCCTCCTGTGTTACAGTTTGTGCCCACCGTCTCTCCTCCTGTCACGGGGCACCACTGAGAACAGTCTGGCTCTGTTCTCTTTGCACCTTCCAGTCAGGATCCCTTTTGTGGACTAAAATGGGAGCTATAGGAATAAGAAATAAGAGAAAAGCTAATCTGCAGGAAATGCAGACAAACAGGACGCTGTCAGAGTGAGAAAGGCAGACCAGTAAGGACCATCCAATACTGTTGACTTGTATGCGCTTCAAGTCACATCCTTGGATACAAGACTGCACTTGTCAGGGGAAACATGCATGTACATCAGTGAAGTACAAGTCACAACAATGAAAACCAGGGAGCATTTCCTAGAAAGACAGGATTTTTTCAGAGGAAAAAAAACAACAAAACAAAACATGAAGCTGTTATATTATATGGGAACTATGGGTTGGGGAGCTTCCCAGAAAGACAGCTGCCCCTGTTCCTAATTATTTATTATTCATCTCTGTTTCAGTCCAAAATGAGGGCTGATTTATGGGAAATGACTTAGAAAATGTAATATGGAAATATTGGATGGATAATGATTAATGGAAGCTATGATATATGCCTGCAAAAATGTAAAGGGCATAAGCATCCAGGAGGGGAAGGTTGACATGAGGTGACACCAGAGGGTTTTCATGAGTGAATGAATAAAGACAATATATTTCCTGATGGTAATGCTATCAGACCGTAGAGTAAGGTCTGAAGAGAAGATCCGGAGACACGGTGGACATGGTGGAGACACGTTCCTCACTCTTGGCCTGAAAAAGAAGAAGGCCTTCCACTTTGGATCTGTGTGACATCCTAAGTCGGATTTTTGTACTACAACTTTACACTTCGCTTTGCTGGTATAATGGAAGCTTAATTATGGCTTTTTTGTTTCTTTGATAAGTTGCTGATACAAAGCAACAAAGTTCTGGTTTTCAATACAAAGAGCAAAAACAATTTGAGAAAATATATTTGAATCATGGATTGTTTAAGAATCACTTGAACAAAATGACTTTTGGGTGGAAAACCTCAAGTTCCGTCATGCTTAGTATCAGAAGTAAGACTCTCCCACTCTTAAGGCGCAGCAATTGTAATCCATTAATATTCACAAAGAACAGCATTGTCTTTGGTCCAATTAAGAGTTTGCACAAACTACCTAAAGAAACACAACGGGATTGGACAGCAGAAGCAGTAATGACCAAGATGTCAGGAGTGATTTACATATAGTTCATGCCTGCCTGAGGCAAGGGAATGAAATAGAAGATTTTTTGAGGTTCCCTGAAGCCATGGGTTTGTTCTACGGCCTGAAGATGAAAATGACCACCACAACATATTGACTCTCATCGTCTATTCCCCTGGGAGCAGTAAGCAATTTTCAGCACCTTCCTGTCAATGCTACATTGAATTCTCACCATAGAAGTTCTTACCAACTCCATCATTTCTCTGCAAAATATTTTTTTATTCTGTTATGCTTCATACCTGAAATTACCTACAGAACAAGAAATGAGAGTATCATTTTTTTTCTTCATGGCATTTTCATTTCATGCTAATTACATGGAAATGCACAAACTCTGCCACTCCAGCAGACTGTTCTTCACCTAGAATGAGCTGAGATGCTTCTAAGGAAAAGATGGCAGACTTTTCGAGCACATGAAATGGTCTGTATGATCCTGTGCTGTCCTAAATCCTTTCACTCTAACTTCACTGGAGGCTCTGAATTGTGGTTTAAGGGCAGCGTAAGGCCTGAAGTATCTATCAAGAGTGATGTCAGTTAATTGCTATCCTGGGGATTCAGCAATGTGTTGGTGCACTGTGAGTTAATGACTTCCAGGCACATAATACTTGGCAGTGCTACCATTATTACTTTGCAGGGAGAATTCAGTGTCTTTTCATGAAGCCAGACAACCAGAATGTTGTTGATATGTTGTTTGCCTGCCTGTTGCACAAGATATTGCTGCAACACTCACTACCTATTTGTTGATCTTTCTTTCCCTTCATTCTTTCTCTACCAGTTTACATAGATATGTCACTGTCTCCAAAGGAGACTTCACTCTTTAACAAACAAATCAAGAAAAAGGCCACATCCCTTTCCAAGTTACAATTCAGCCTTCTAAAGATGGATGTCGACAAGACATTGATAAATTCAGACGCAGCTTTGAGATTTCTCAGAGGGTTTGAGGATTTCCATTGTCAGACATGGCTATTGTGCTATGAAAATGACTCCCAGCTGAAAGGGTGAGAAAACATTTTAAAGGACAGCTCAACAGTATTAAGAAAAGCTGGATGCTTTGGCACCCTGGGGAAAAGCTGCTAACAAAGTGAGTGAGATGGGGTGGGACATATGAGTGTCACAATAATTTCATTGCATAATCTTTGTCCTGCTTACCCCCAGCTCCCACCAAACACAATGGAAGCATGGGGTTTTCAGTTCCTTGCAGAAGACACTGAAAGTCTTGCATCATCAAGTCCTTTTTATTTTTTTCTGCGATATTATAAAACACAGAAAAGCATTCTTGACTACAAACTAACATTCAAAGTCTCATGGGAATAAATACCGCTCCCTTGGCCATAAAACTTCGGGGAGGACTCAAAATGACCGTGATGAATCTCATGGAGAAGTCCCAAATAAACACAATTTGAATGAATAAAGAATGCAGTCATCCCATCAACAGATGAGCTTGATTACTGCTTGTCTCTGCAGGCTCTCTACAGTACCACATCACCTCTGAGACTCTGTCAGATACACGAAGCTGCCACGCTGTGCCTTTAAGCCCCTTACCATTTTACAGATGGACTTGGCCTCCTCAGAAAACTTATGGGAGTACACCTCCTCAGTCTCCAGAACTCTTCTGTCCACTTCTTCTCTCTTCACCTTCTCTTTCCTTCCACGAAATGGTGATTGCCCAGCAATCATCTCATAAATGAGACAGCCCAGTCCCCAGTAGTCAGGGCTGAGTGTGTATCTCTGGTTGTTCAACACTTCCGGGGCTGTGGAAGAGAAGATGTCTCTTATGACAATGTTTGATATTGGCAGGAAGAGAGAATGGTAGGTAGAATATTGAAATACCTCATGATTTCTATTGACTGAATTACAGAAAACGCAGCATGTTACACACCAGTTTTTTGCTCAACATGTCATACCACTTGCCATGTTCACACTCTCTTCTGAGTTTTCTACCAAGCCAAACCAATTTAAAAAATAAAGGGAGGGTGGGTGAATCTGAAGAGTGCTTCCAGGCTTATCCATTTAAGAAAGAAATGACACACAAGCACACATCCTGTAAATAACAGTGACATTTACCCAAAAGCAAATTCTGTCTTTTCACTCAATTTATAACTTATGGTTCCCTCCTTTTAAAAATAAATACATTTCTTTTGTGTTGCAAACATTCAATGTGTCTTGGGCATACAGTCAATTCTTTGCAGACATCCTCACCTTCTGTACATAGTTACAAACAGACAGAGGCAGAGTCTTAGTGTGTGCACAGACTCACACGGAGATAACAAAACTTAGAAATGACAGCTGATATGCTTGCTTTCATTAAAGTACTGATAGAACTGTGACTCATATCAGTTAGTTTCTATTTCGTCGAATAAATGTACGCAAATTTTATTCCACAAAGTATGCTCACCCACAGAATGCATGAAAACAATTACATTCATTTCCAAAAACAGATCGAGTTCAATTAGGGAGAGTGTTATTATTATTATTTTTTAAAATCAATGTACAAATCTTTACTCTTCTTTTGTGTGGCTTCCCCTGTCCAAACAGCCAAACAGATGCATGAATCATAAACATACACATTTAACTACTATGCAAAGTAGCAATGAGAAAAAAACATTTCTTTCTTTTAAGCACATAACACTACTAAAATAAATGTATGCTAAAAGCATTAGAATCCCTAATTCTGTTGTATGCTCTTTGTATTTTCCTTGCTGGTTTAGGAATATAGACCAGTCTCTTTAAGAGCAGCTGTGCTCCAGCCTTTTCCCGACTCCTGATTTCCTCTGAATACTTTTTGGAGGCTTGCTGCACAGAACTGGACTCAGCGGAGTGCAGTGTTTTAAAATTCTTTTTCTTAAGCCTACAAAGGTAATCTTAGTGAAGGTCATCAGGTAATCTTAGTGAAATGTCAAGAAGATGAGCTGCTGAAGACTTACCCATATACCCTACTGTTCCTACCCTTCCACGGATCGATTCACCCTCAGGGATTTTAACAGCTAGACCCAAATCCGATATTCTAATATGGCCTGTAAGGGAAAAACAAAACAAAACAACACAAAAGCAGATATAATAATATGACTCCAAATTAGCTCAAAAACACAACTGCTGTCATTATAATACTCTTGCAATTTACTGTTCAGGAATTGGAGCAGTTTCACTGATAAATAAAGGAATTAACTGAGTGTGATATAATGCAGTGAAAGTTTAACAGTGAGGCTATGGACTAGAGTGGATTGTGTTATATACTTTAAAACAAACCAGAAAAAGACAATGGGTAGCACACTGCAGGGAAGTATCTTGAACTGATCACAGTGGATGGATGGGCTGACATAGTTCTGAAACTCTTTGATGGCTGAAGGGGCTACATCTGGTCTATAATTCAGCATAAGATCTGATTATCACTGCCCTCAGCAACAAATGAGCACCTGGCTTTGTGTAAAATGAGAGTTGACTCAGTAAAGGATGAAAGTACTTTTGAAATGGAGTGGGGAGCACAGATTTAGAAATGACAGTGTTGTTTGTGTTATGTTAGCCTTGTAACAATAAGGATGGAAAAACAATGGGAAAAAGGCAGGCACTTCCAGCAAAGTCACATTCCCTAGAACACACCCTGCTGTACAGCATGAGTCCTAGCATTCTGCCCACCCCAATATGCAGTATTAGAATATGCTGAGCCTCTTATTTACTTCAAAGCATTATTTATCTCTGTGCAATACGTATCCTGAAACTAACTTAATCTATTTTACAAAATAATCTTGTGGAAGAATTGTTGTAAACCTCTGATACTTACCATAATCATCTAGCAGGATATTTTCTGGCTTCAAATCTCTGGAAATGAAAGATAGCAGTTATTTGGATGAAGCTGGTTTTGATAACATAAGCATACAACAGCGTGTGAGTGCATTTATGACTAGTAATAAACCAATTGAGTGTCAACTCAAACAGTAAGGAACTCATGAAACCAATACAACTTTCCTCAACTCATTTCACAGAGAGACTGAAACCATATGTCTTTTTCCAAGCTGGAGTTACATTTTTCCACTAAGCCAGGCTTTTAGTTTGCAATCCAGTATAATGGAGTCATCCATCTAGACCAGAAAAGCCTGTAAACCAAGCCTTATAGTCCTGTGTGGTGTTAAATCTCTAACAAATCCTTTTATAAAATCTTTTTGTTAAAAACATTAACAATTCTGAAATACTTTATTTGCTCAAGAAAATGGAAAAAGTGATTTGTTGGGCTAAATTTTCTGTGCCTGGCATCTGACTCAGGCCAACTACGTGAATGTACACACACTTGTCACAGGTGAGATAGTTTCAGCCACTTTGGAAAATGAGGGGCAGAGGGGAGTGCTGTGCCCAGATCAAAATTCTTCTTGCAAACATTTGTGAAACTCTGGTGCCTTTGTGGTTTGGAGCAGCGCCATGAAGACTGGCAAGGTGGTCAGTCTGATGTCAAAGATGTGCCTTTTACTGCTCCTGCCGGGAAAAAAAATCCCAAATGCAGCCAAGTTAAGAACTTCTGAAAAAAACCCTCTATTTTCATATATGTAACAGAGCCTTGGCAGTCATTCTTACAAAGGGCTTGCCTGAATCAAGCCCATTCCACCTGGTGCTACTTCTAGACACTGTCCATAGATGCCAGTAATGCTCTATCTCTGCCACTCCTGGAGCAAGGGGCCACTTTTGAAGTAGGAATCCAGCAGCTGCTCCCCGACCCAGGCATGGCAGGGCTGAAGCACAGCTGGGAACTGGGGGAGCCTGAAGAAGGCATCGGCACGTCTGGGTAAATCAAGGAGAAACACATTGCTGCAGCTTACAGCTTTATGTCCAGTCTTTCACACGTTTGCCTCCTCTCAGTGTTAGTCTGGTCCAAATCCAAGAAGTGTTTGGTCTCTTTTTTTTTTTTTTAAGGCCTCCTTGCATTTGTGAAGCAGCTTGATTCTCTTAGCTTCCCAGCAAGACACAGTCCTTTTCAAGGAGCAGAAGAAATCCGCACAACACGAGAGCCTGGGCAGGAGTCCTCCCTGCCTTTTGAACTGTGCTGCTTCAGTGCCTTGAGTTTTCCTCTGATGGAGAGTGGTATTCAATAGTTTTGACAATGCTGACAGTGGCATCTCAAAACTGATCTTGTTTTTATTTATTTTTTCAAGCAAGAACATAGAATACTGTGAACAGTTTCCTCTTCTTGCTAGCTTCAGACCCTCTTGACCTCTCAAGATGAATTCCACTGGGTGCTCAATGGTACCAAGCTTACTTGCCAAGTAAACTATTCTGAAATATGTGAAGGGCAACTGAATTCAGAGGAGAATCTGTGATTTTCTTTACCATATTGTTGTGGGCTTTCCCTGCCTATCAGCAGTATTCCAGTTCTGAAGCAACACGGACAAGGGCATTTTGCGGTTACTTTCTAAAATGTATTCTGAAACCCTTCAGAACAATCTTCTTGAAGAACTTAGACTTCATAGTTACGTCATCTTCTGCTCCAGCCGTTATTAGTCCCATCTAAAGCTGTAGCTAAATGAAAAGAATGTTGCATGCTAGTTATGAAAATATGTTTTCTTTGATTGAGAAAATGAGAGACTCCATGAAGACTCTGAGAACAGCAGTGCAGCTTTTATAGTCCTTTGTGATTTAGGGCAATTAAGGCAGTCCTTCCTTTCCTGAAGACATCAGTTATCATTTCTGTTTTCAGATCTCCATTGCTTCAGGATCAGGGACAGCTCCCTTAGCACAGCTAACTCTTGAAAGCGTCAAGGAGGAATGTGATTTTTGTACTGAAATGTCTAGAATTCAAACTCCTCCGTGCTATGTGTTATATGTAAGGATACTTCCCAATGGTGCAGCTTCAGAAACCTAAGCTCGCCTTGCCTAAACATGCTGGAACACAAACTGCTGGCACTGCGCCCACGCGGAAAGGCTGTGGTACGTTGTTCTGCTCTGCGGGACAGCATAAACACTACAATTAATCATGGTGGACAAGGCTTTGCTGTATATTTGTGTAATGCTAGGACAGAGTGATCTTGATGCAGATTGGAACTTGCAGGCACTGCTATAATATATGTAGTTATATATAAATAATTCGAGGAGAACCAGAAGGTTTTCTTGTCTGCTTTCCATGAAAAGTCAACCCATTGACCTTTACTAACATGATGCAGTTTAGAAATGTAACGTAAGCTCCTCATTTGGCAAGGGAATTCTGATTTTTCATCTGACACTGATCCTGAAACAGGGCCTGGTTGTTCTCTCGGGTCACATCCACAGCGTGCGTCACTGGTCCGGGAGATGGGAAGGTTATTTTGGAATGCTGTGATTTACTCAGAAGCATTTTGTTCACAGAAAATGAAATTAAGTCTGAGGAATAAGCTTTGCTATGAATTATTCGCCTTGAGAAAGCTGTAGCATGTAGTTGCTAATTTTTTTTTGACCTGTATAGCACTTCTCACAGGTCCCAAAACACTTTGTAGGATTACAAATCAGGGGTCTCTGCGGATGCTTCTGAAATGCTACCAGAAAATGCCACCTACAAAGATACCTATCATTAATCACCAAAATGAATGTCCCATCCAAACTGTGAACTAGCAGCTCTTTTAAGAATAATGTGAAACAACTGCTTAAGGAGGTAGGATGCCATTTCTCTCAAAGCCCATAGTATTTTAGTAGACCACATATAACTTTGTTTATTAGAAAGTGGCATTAGCATGGCATTTTACCAGCCACATTATGAATTTATCTGTCCTTTTCATCAATACAATGAAATCTTATGCTATGTGATTTAAGGGTTGTTTGTTTTTTTTCTTAAAGAAAAACTATTGCATTTCCTACAAACTTTTCTGAATGTGTAGGGTATATTTTAAAGAAAAAGAAGGCCAGACACATCAGTTAAGATCTGTTTTTTTTTTCAATTGACTTTAAACACTTAATTCCATTGTTTTTCCTTGAAAAAATCTTCTGGGACAGTGCCATGCAGATCAGTGTATTATCGATGCCTGCTCTCCTAATGCGAGATAGCAAAATCTGAGTCACAACAAGGCAACAGAGTGGCAACTTCTCAGAGAAATCCTCCAAAGAACAATATTCTAATTTCTCCATATACAAGCATATGCACAGTGCTTATTATACATCAGCATATCAGTGATTTGAAGCGTGGCTTTGTTTTTCAAAAAAAAATCAAAACCCATACTATTATCTATTAATCATTGCCCTTGGATGCTCTCATCAATTTACAGTACCTCTAGGATTTGGGGAGTTCTGTGTTAGATCTGTATAATTTAGACATGATATGTTCAGTGAAGGAACTGCTTGCTTTCACTATTACTGGATTCACTATTATTGTATTTGTAAATGGCTCTGAGAAGTGTCATCAAAGCACTGGGGTACCTTTTCTCTATTGCACTACAATGGGTAGAGGGGAATGCACAGTTCTTTTCTCCCTGGGAAAGTCTTCCTAAGACTACAAAAAAATGCTCACCTGTATACTGTGTTTTCTCTGTGAAGATCTTCTAAACCACAAAGAATCTCTGCAGCATAAAACAAAGCTCTTTCCTCCTCAAAACCTGGGTTTCCCATGTTGTAGATATGAAACTTGAGATCACCTCCATTCATTATGGTCAGAACTAAACATAGTGCATCCTTTGTTTCATAGGCATAGGCTAAATTGACCTAGAAAAAAACATTTGTAAGATAGCTGTGACAGTTCATTTATCTGCTAAGAAGAAATCACTAACTTTTCATTAACAATTTTCACTAGAAAAAGAAAAAAAAGTGCTTCCTGAAATTGATATGGACCTTATTGTAATAACAAAACACATACTTTAAAAGTATAGAAAAATTAGCTGTTAGGACTTCATGAATTAATCCGTTGAATCCAGCCAACTCATCACCAGAAACCCCCAAGTTTAATGCTCAGATTCTTCAAAGTAACAGAAATCTTAACAGCCAAGGGAAGCTCCAGCTCCAGCTGCACTGTTTTGCTGGATAGCTGTCAAACAAACACAGTGAGTTCCCAGGAAGGCCCAGTCCCGCGGTGGCCGAACTGAGGCAGGAAGGTCCCCATCACCCCTGTGCGGCTTTGGCGGTGCCCCAGCAATGATCAAACAAGCCAAAATCTACACATCCCTTTTAAATATGTGCCATTGTCTTTGCTTCTGCCAGAGGTAAGCAAACATGATTACCTTTCCATCTGTTGTATTCACAGTGTTTCCTAAAATAAGTAAAAAGAACACAACAGATGCTGAGAGAACAGCAGTTCTTTTATCCAAGGCAAGTATTTAGACACAAGAACTGGCCGAACTCAGGAAAGCCTCGAGTCAGGCTGACCTGCTCCATGTCACTGGCTGGGTGCTGCTACTAGCCAGTCTCTTCTGATGGACTTGGGTTGAATCTCCTTAAGTCTCTTGCAAGCTCCTCTCTCATTACCTGAATTACCTGGAAATTCAGGTAATCACACAGGACAAAAATAGCTCAGCCTGATGCAAGTCAAAGCTGGAAAGAGCATCACATGGTAGAGAAAACACACATCGTTTGGTGCATTTCCCACAGATCACAGATAAAAGTGAGACTCTGGAAGTGTGCATGGTGAAATGAGGAAGGATGGGCTTCCTACAGAAAACAGCACCTTTTCTGTACGAGGGGTTGGAAGAGGCATCAGATTCAACAAGAGACTGTGCTCAGCAGGTGAGCACAGAGCCATGCTAGAGAGAGTTCAATACTCACTACAAACTGACTATTGACTTTTTCTAAAATCTGCTTTTCATTTAGTGCCATGGATTCGCCTTTCCTCTTTTTTATTCTTTTCTTCTCTAATCTTTTGCAGGCGTACATCTTCCCTGTTGCTCGAACCTGGCAAGCGCAGACCTGAGAATTAAAGAGAACAGTTGCTGGGTAAGTTAAAGATAACACTTCTTCTGGGTTGCACTTTGCTCCTCACAACTGATCTGATCTGATTTAGTCCTTTTAAGGTTAGAAACAGTGGTGCAGAGAATGAGGCTTAGGTGGGGGCAGCTGGGGAACTGACTGCTGTTTCCAAACATGCTGTGCAATATTGGTTTAATTATTTCACTTTCCTCCGCCTGCTTCCTATCCCACCTCCTTTTGTCTGTGTAGATGGTAATCTGCTCAGCAAAGGCCTGCCTTGGCCTCCTTAGACTCTGCTGCCTAGGCAGTGACCTCAAGCCTTTAGTAAAATACAAATAAGGGTGTGACCCTAATTCTAATGTGAATGCAACAGTCAAATACAAAATAATTTTCAAGAGTGTTCTTTTGAGATTGCTGTGTCAGAGAGGTTAACCAAAACTATCAGCAATTAATGAAAATCAGCCTCTGTCTCATTTAGATACTATAACTGCAGTTCCTGAGAAGCAACAAACACTCAGAACAGAAACTTTCAGAACCACTCACCTCCCCAAAGCCGCCTTTCCCTAGCACCCTGTACTGCCTAAACGTGTTTTTCGTTACTGGTTGCCTGGAAGAAAAGGAAAAAAAAAAGACACACTACATTTAATGCACTCTCTGTGATTTATTTATTTCAGGGCATACTTTTGAAAAGCAAAATAGATAAATATTACATAATCAAATTATTTTGAGGTAATTATATAGTATAATATAATATATAATTATGTAATTACATTACTTCAATGCTATGTATGGCTTGAACTTTTCAATTCCAACATATTAAGCTGTAATAAAATACAACACATTAGTGAGTCATCAGTATAATTTCAGCTAGCATCTTAGGACTGAGGAGGGTTCTGAATCTCCATTATATAGCTTTGGCCTTCGTTAAGCAGACACGAGGCATGAGAGCTTGCAACAACACATGAATCCTGCAGATCATCTCATGGTATGTTTTTTTAAGGGTGATGCTGAGCTAACATCTAATTACTTTGCTCATTCTTCAAGTTGAGAAAATGAGATCCAAGATTCAATCACTATGAAAATACTTATGTTTTCTTGACCTTAAGCAAAACAGGAAATCAATATGAAACAAGCAAAAAACAATCCCGGGAGCTGGAATGGAGGATTCAGATCCCATTCACAGGAGGGGTAGGAGCAGGAAGCAGGGCTGGGAGCCCTTCCGGCCCAACCGGAATTACCTGCCTCTTGGGACCACAGCACTGGGCAAAAAAGGAGGAAAAGCATCTCTTTCCTTCGGGGGGCATGTGAAACAGATTAGCTGAGACCATTCACCTGACAAGACAGTCTCCTGGTTCCATTTTTAAGCAAATTAGCAGACTCTTCTTTTTTTTCTTCTCCCTCTAGTGAGTTAAATTGTGTGTATATTCAGTAGCAATTTAAAGGCCAAATTAAGGGTTAAATAAGTATCTATGTAATTGTACAAACACAGCCACCACAAGATCTTACAGGATTCCCACAGAATTCTGCTCTTCCTAAAGGGCTGCAGCCCTAAATCTTACTTCCACCACACTGACTGTCATCGAAGTTCTACAGTGTGACAGAGAAAGTACTCTGGATTCTGAGACATCTGATTTTGTGTCCACCAGCCTATCGCTGAAATTTTAAAATTACACTGGCAATCAATACGAACATTCATCAGAACCGCTTAGGAGCGTTGTTTCCCTTTGGCGGGCAGCCAGCCGGCAGAGGGAGCACAATAACGTGGCTGTTCTAGCGGCGCAGTGATGGGGTTGATGACAATAAAGAATAAACATAAAAGCAAATTGTTTCATTTATGTTTGCTATTGTTTTTTATAAGTAGGTGAAGAAAAGCATGCAAATGGCCAAAACTAGAAGATGCTATTTTCAGGCTTCTAAGAAAACGCTGAGAATGCTATTGGGGTTAAAAGCAACAATTAGCAGTGATAACTACGTGCTCAGCAATGTCCCTGGAGTAAATGGACTGTGTGACTCTCTGTTTGAGCCAGCAGATTCCAATCGCTAACATCTCTTGGCTAATCCTAAAAAAAACAGTTCTCCCGGCTTCTTAAGCTGGATAGGCACGGCCAGTAGCTTCTCACATTTGTTGGGATAATGGAAAAAAAAATCCTCAAAGTATTTGAGAAAATTCCTTATCTTAAATGAGAAAATGGCTAGGAAATAGCATGGCTAGAGATGAATCATCTGATGTTTTTCAACTGAAATGGAAGGGTAAATTCTGGATTCAGTCGAGATGGCATGTGGAGCATGTCTTGGCATGAAACAGCTCTCCCCTCTGCCCACCACTTCCCTTCCCTCTTGTGCAGCAGCTTTGTAACTTTCCAGAGAGAGTTACTGGCACAGCTCCTTTAATCCCTGAGCTCTTACGCTTATACACACCACTCAAGGGTCTGGCCCTAACTGATCTGCCGTAATTAATGCCATTTGTGGAAACTGGTGCCTCTCAACTCAAGGTCACTGTTAGCCAGCAGTGTTCATCTGCTGGGTACTCTCCAGCACTCTCCAGCATGGAAGAGGCAAAGGTCCCTTCCCTGCAAATAAATACCCACTAAGGCTGCTTGGTTATTAAATGTGTCCTTAGAGGTCCAGCCAATAAATACGGTGCGAGGACCTACATGCTGCTTTTTTGTCTGTTTTACAGCGTTTTCATAATTGCGATAACTGGTTTAGACAAATAGTCACCGTATTCTGCTAAGCAGAAAGACAACAAATGTTGAACGTATTTTAAACATACCTGATATGCCTATCATACTTAATACCATTAAATGGCAGAACACTGTAGCTTTAGAAGCCAAAACAGCCTCCCTGGTGTTCTGGGAGGGATTTCTCTTTTATTATTTGCTTCCCTAGCAAGCAGCATCTGTTTCAGTCTTTCTTGGGCACAGCGTTTGCAAATGTAAAAGCCAGAGGTTGGATGTGTAGCTTACATTTAGCAGTATAGATGCATGAAGGTAGGGCACAAACAAGCGCAATGTGCCCTTTTGCTGTGCAACAAATAGCTCGCTCTGACAGGGCCCACAATGAAATTGACAGGTTTTTTGGATCACTGAGGAGGCTTGGATTCCTATTTTTTATGGGCTACAAGTTTTGTCCTATTCACTGGGCATGCACAAACATGCTGAGCAAAGAAAGTGCCCAAGCTGCTTCCAGGAGAATCACAGAATCATAGAATGGCTAGGGTTGGAAGGGACCTCAAGGATCAAGGATTATACATAACCCAGTCACAAGTTGTGCTTGTTGGATGATCACATCTTGAGACACAGTTTGTGTTTACATTGAATCCAAAGCCAGCATAACAATAACTTTTCTATATGGCATCTTCCTGTGGCTAAACCATTACTTCGTCTTGAACCTTCTAACAATGAACAGCTGCAAGCAAATGCTAAAATTAGAAAAGCCTTCCTGGACCTCTCTGGGATAATTTCCCTGGAGTACAGCTCAGGGAGAGGGGGAATGAGCCTTGATGAATCTTTTCAAATGACAACAGTGGAAAGAAGTAGAGAATTGCTGCGCAGAGAAGGCCATAAATGGCAGATATTGGGAGGAGACACTAGTAATGCTGAAGGAAGGCCAAACTATTTACCTCAAAAGCAAAAGGAGCAAACCAGTACCATGTCAGCTGTTAGATTGAGATTATATTCCACAGGCTTTCCATGGAAACTGAAATAAATATTTTGTATTCGTTTTTATTTAAAAAAATAAATTGTGACACTTACCTTTCCAACCACTTCCACTGGAGAAACCTGTCAAAGTACATGCTGTTCAGGTATTCTTGGAATGGTTCCCCACTGAGGTGGTCAAGGACAGATCTATCTCAGATGAAAAGGATATATAAACATTTTAAAATCCTGAACTCGGAGCAAAAGAGGAATGAAACAAGAGGAGAAAATCCGGACTTCTTGAACGATGAGGACATTTGATGTCTACTTAATTACTACTTTATTTTACTCATGGTTTCAACCTAGGAACAAATTGATATGCTTATTGTGTTTCATAACAGAAGACCTACTACCAGCTGCCCAGTAAGTAATATGTACTTGTTATGCTTGCTGAAAATTAACAAGGATTCTCCCACTGGCTTAAATGGATTTTTACAAAGGCTTTTAGACATAAACAAGTATATTTGCTTTTCTTAGTAAACTAAGACCATCTTAATACAACACCCACAGCAGAAGAGCTCCTAAACTCTGGGAGATGGATCTGGGTTAAAAATTTCTGATGAAACCCATTTTTGTTCAGAAGAGAACATTAGGGGCATTATTTTGAGCAAAAAATAAAATCTGTCTCAACTCCTGTTATACAGAAGAACTGGTAACCGATTGAAGTCAAAAGCTTTTTCCTAGTAGCAATGAGCCTCATAGAATAAAATGCAGGAAAGAGAGTCTGAATAGGGATCTGAATATGTTTCTGGATCAATAATAAGAATTGGGTCCTCACATTATGACAGCAAAGTCTTCATGGAAAGGACAATCTGCAAATGTTACCGATAAAAACGTTACTTACGACAGGCAACAAGCAGCCAAAGACCAACAGACATTCCCTAAGGAAGGCCAAAGGCTTAGAGCTAAGAAAACTCGGGCTGAGCTGAGAGAGCTGCTGAGATGGAGGCTGTCATGCTGTTCACTGGAGGATTTTGGTTTTGGTTCTTGGATTACTGAGGCTACTGCATCTGCCTCTGCTGTCAGTGGTGCCGGTACACAAGTGTATATAGACACTTCTTAGCTTTTGCTGGAGGATGAAATCCTCTCTGAAGAACTACTCTGGTTAGCAAATTAATAAACCGGCTCTTCCTCGAGTGGTTCTAGACATGAGCAAACAATTCAGGAAGAATAATGCAGCTCAGATCCCTTCCATTTATGAACCACTATTCCTCCGTTTTTGGAATTTCTCAGCTATTTGAATTTTTTATGAAAATTCAAGCTTACAAATAAAAAGATCACCTAGCCTTAATAAGCTTTAAAAAAATTTCAAATTCAAACTGAAAATTATTGTGGAAACTGGGGGAAGGCAGGAGAAAAAAGTCAAAATACTGAAGATCGAAACAGCACATAAAGCTATACACACATTTCTTCTACAGACTGATCTTATCTAAAGCAACTTGTCTGAACTTCATCCCCATTCCTGTTCCAATGGGACTAAGTTTCATATTTGTGTGCAGGCTCCCTTTTTCAGTCTGGCTGTGAGCACTTCCAAAATTAACATTATTCTGTACGTTTAGTAAATGCCAACAGCGAATTTTTAAGACTTCCTTCTGAGCTCATTTCAGTCCACTTAAAACAATCAGCATATTTATGTACAAAGTCTCTAAGCTGGCTAATTGATCAGTTTTGCTTCAGAAGAAGGGATGGCTGTCTGTGAATAAGAGCCCGAATGAAGTGGAGCTCAATGTTAGCCCATTTCATTCAGTTAATTAAAAGCTTCACGTATTTCAGAGAACAATAGCTGCTTTTCAGCACTTGTTTGCTTTTAGTTCCCCTCTTTGGCAACAACGGAGTGCATTTTACAGTAAACTGTCAGCTTTCAAATCGATTTCAGAAATGGAAACGGACATCAGGGTTTTCTATGTCAAGCACAGCTCTGCCTTTGTCATTGTGACTGGCACACACAACTGGTGTAAGTTATGCTAGCATCTCAACATGGACATTGGGCCAACGCAAGTAAACTAGTTATGTTATAAGAGAAGGCCAGAAATAACCCACATCTCCTACCAATGCAAAGAATAACTGGAAACAGAAAAGGTCAATGAAATGAGTCAAAACAATGAATGACAGCAGAGCGAATTTTACAAATCCCCATTACATCATCCAGGGAAAACAAACTGTGCTCAGCCAGAAACCACACGGGCCAGCTTGTGATGATCCCTCCTTTTCATATTTCTGTTGGTTTACGATCACTGCTATGAACATACTCAGGTCAGTATTTGCAACTGCAGACTGCATACCTGGAGCTTTAGAACATAATAGTGCAAATTGCCTCACCACTACAAAACCTGATAAGCCTTTTCCCAGACAAAGGATGAAATAATGCACGTTCATTTGAACTCCACAGACAGACAGAAAGCTTTAAAAAAGCCCCTTTCTGCTGCTGAAGATTTTCTGGAAAAGCTATGCAGAGCAAGTTTGCACATTCCTCTGTCTAAATGGTCTGTATAGCCACTTAATTTTTATTCACTTTGAAACAGAGATGTTTTCTTTGGATATATTAGCATTGTAGCTCTTTTCACGCAGCATGAAATCCATGGCTGGTTCACTTGGCTAGAACGCTCTGTCAAATACCTAAAACACTAAGTGCTTGTGTGTAGTGTATATAATGGCATGGAAATATTTATTATATTTTGTTGGGATGAAATGACTTCACTGCTTGTCAGTTACGCCTCTAAGATTATGAATGTAAGCTGAAGGTACATGCCCTGATTTCAAATCGAAATCTCTCTTTACCTGACAGTCTTTACAAGCTGCTGACTGCAGCCATGTGGTCTTTGGATATCAAGTTATACTTACTTTGTGCAGTGAGAGAATAGCTCTTTGCAGGGACTGTTTTCGAGTTTTTCCTCTGTCTGTTGGATAAGATCTTGACTGACTTCTGGAACGTAGGCTGGAGACTGGGGGAGAACAGAGGGGCACATTATCTCTGTGATGAGGTGCAGATTCTCCTCTGTTAGCATGTAAAAGACACATTCATTATTTACTCCCTGCACTGCTTCCATTCAATTCCAGTGGTTGTGTAAAAGCAAAGGAGCTTTACGTCAAACAGCAGTAAAATAGGATACCGTGGTAACTCACTCCGCATTCCACTCTATCCTCACTTTGCTTTTCTGCCTTCTCCTGTACCTTCACCTCCTTGCCCAGCCTCATGAATATGCAGGACCCACTCCTTGCCAATTCTTTGAACTGCTCCCTTGCATCCCATGAAAAATGTGCTGGCCTGAACTGTGTACAGGCCATTCTCTTAAACAAAAGAGAATTTGCCCAGTGTTTTCACTTCACTGATGATTCATTGTGCTGTCTGAAAAATCCATCTTTTTTTTTAAAAAAAAAAAACAACTAGCAAGATTTCAAAGAAAAACAAGAGCAGAGCATTTATATATATTGATTTTTATATCAATAATACAGCAAGATGCATGCAGAAGTGTCTGGATGCTTTAATTCATCATTAGAAGGACAAAAATAACCTGTCGGCTTTAAAATAATCATATCAAAAAAGAGCTACGTCAACCAAGCACATAAACTCTTTTCATCCTCTCCTCCCTTCGGAGAGGTTGTACATTCAGCTCCTTCAAAAAGCCCTTACCAAAGAGAGGTCTTTTGCAGTATGCCTTGATGGTTAACCAGTTTAAGACCTTTGGGACTAATTATCTATAAAGACAGTTTTTAAGCAGCCCACATTCTTACTCATTAAAAGTATGCTGTAATTATATAAAAAAGTGTAAATGCATGTACGTGTGTGTGTACAACTATTTATAGACATTTTCACATTCACATGAAAGCCCCTTTCTATAACCAATAGGATTTGGGAATTTTCAATTTACCCAGCCACAGATGACAGAAACTCCTCCTGCAGAAGACATAGAGCTTGGTAAGGTTCCCCATCCATGGCCACGACTACCAGATGTGCTCAGTAGGTTTTTTAAGGAATATTCAGACAGGAACCAAAGCCCAGTGACCAGCAGCATTTCAGCTAGTTTTGACTAGTAGCCATGGATTAACACCTCGTTTTCCAGATTGCACAGTTAATGGGTGAGCTATAGAGGCTCAAAGGCAACCCAGAGCCTATGTGTGGCTGCACAGGCCTCTGCTCTGACGTGTGGTTATCCTGAACACCTCTGATTTATGGGGTACAGAAACACTGCTGAGCTCCATTTGTGCTGCTGTGGATCAGCAGTATATTTTCTGATGTAAATCAGAAAAAAATGACTCTAAGGTTTCTAGATGAAATTACTGCCAGTAAAATCTAGCATTTGCTGTAGATTTATAGACCAAATGGGGAACCAAGAGCTATGTATTAAACCTCCTAAACAAAGCCCTAAATGAAAATAATCAGACATTTAGACCAAGTGACTTGATTCTTACAGATGCTAGTCAACCTCATTTCTCAATGTCTTTACTGGGAAGAAATGTGCCTTGGTAGTGGTGAAAACTGCACACAAATTTACTGTCCAGTTGGCTGCTTACATTGCCATCTCCTAAAGTCCTTAGAGCATTGAAAAAGATCTTGTTTACTCTAGTCCCAAATTACAAATAAAAGGTCCTTACTGTGGATAAACAGATTTGGAAATTCTGCATGCCTCTTCCCCTCTTCCATATGTCTGTATTCTCTCTGCTGCCTAAGCCACAGCAATAATTCAATCAAATTTTGTCTTACATTAAAGAACATTTGAAAAAAAAATTATAAACATAAACTAATAAGTCTTTTTCATAATGTTGAAATGAAATTCTTATAGAGAAAGGGGTGAAGAATGAACGAAAAAAAAAACTGTAAGACAATGTGGGAAGTACTTTAAAAAGGCATGAACTGTGACTTCTCTACAAATGAGGTAATAAGTACAACTGCAGCCATGGGCTTCAGGAGAGCCAACTTTGATCTTTTCAAGGGCTTACTTGGACATATCCCATGGGTTAAAGCATTGGTGGCACAGGAGAGTTAGTTGACATTTAAGCACCGCTTTTTCCAAGCTCAAGATTGCCTAAGAGTAAGAAATCAGGCAAAAGTGGCAGGAGACCCATATGGGTAAGCAAGGAGCTCGTGAAAAAACTCAAATGGAAGAGCTTGCTTTAGCAGGGGCTTGGACTAGAAGATCTCCAGAGACCCCTTCCAATCCCCATTGTTCTGTGATTTGTGGAAGACAGAGTCACCACTTGGTTTTTCAGAACCACCCATCATTGACCTTTGAGTCTTTGCATCCTCTGAACAAAGCACAAGCAAGCTAACAATATCAAGTGAAGACTCACACTGACATTCTGTACATGGACTAGAGCATTACAGCATAGAGCAAACACTGTACTAAATCACTTTCGGTAACAGAAAACACTTCTTTTCTCAAGCTGATCATTTCTACCTAGATCTGTAGGTGTAGCAGGAGGAGTGGTGTCAGTATGCAGACCTTCGTGGTTAGAACTGGGAGAGGCAGAGAACAGTGAGATGTCACACACAAGTGTTCAAAGTTAGTTATGGTTGTATCAACAAAACTTGGAGTTTCTTCCAAATCATACCTGCAAGACAGTTTTCATGTTTTACTAAGAGGTTCATTTCAGCTTCTCCCCATTCCTCTCCAGTGGGGTGCAATGACTGATAACAACACGGCAGCTAGGATTGAAACTGAATGCTTTATCTACTATAAATGCCACGCATGAGTTTTGGTGGGTGCAGAGGGCACCACCATGACAGCACAGCCTGTCTTTGCTGCACTGCCATTGTTTGTCCCTGACAGCCTGAGTGCGAGAACCATGCCATGCAGCTCTATGTGTGCTACACCTTCCCTATCACAGCCCTCAGCACCTCACCAAAGTACCAAAAAGAAGCAAAATCTGATTTAGACTCACATGAAAGCTTCCAGGCTGTGTAACTCCCTATTATCTGTTATTTTAAGCATCGTGTTGTACCAAGCTATTTTGAAATGTAAACTCTTTTGACAGACTGTAAGTTTTGCCACAGGCAGCTTCATTCAGCCCTTCAAGACACAACATTGTTGACCTTCAGTGAACAGGACGGAAAACAAATAAGTCTCCTCATAAGATCAAACCTACACGCTTGACATGGTACTTACAGCACTTCTCTGATGGTGTTACCTCTGCAACTGTGGGAAAGGCACCCAGCCTTTATACCAGCTAAGCAAGCTCATTGTGAAACTGAAAGCTGAAACAGCACAGAAGGCATTCAGGAGACTGTTGCTTTTAATTTTACTTTTTCCTCAAAACATGTGATTTGTCATACTTCTTCCCAGACAGAACTGCCAAACCTTTGAAATAGGTGAGATTGGTACAGAAGTTAAGGCTATAAGAGTTGTCCCAAAATCTGTGGAAGTGAAAACAGGCAAAGAGGTAGCAGAGATTTGCAACTCAAATGAGTAGCAGCATTTTCTTGATAATTCAATCAGTTGGGGTTTGCCTTTCTGAAATCAGGTGGGGTGAGCAGCAGAATCCAATGATTTCCACTACCTGCCCAGAAATGAGGCCCAGAACAGATGCAAGGTGACACAAACCTACCCAAGTGTCTGTGTGCAGATTTGGTTTATTGCCTGTAAAGCTTCTGTTTCTGCAGACAAAGTGCTCGAATGACATGGGGAGCCTGACCCCCACTTTGGGTCACCACGGTTTGAGAAAGCTGGAAAGAGCTGACCAGAGCAAGACTGTCCTGAGGGTTGAGAAACATCCCTGGAAGAAAATGCTAAATGCTATTGAGGAACTAGATTTGTTTAGTCTAGATAAATAAGAGGGAAACATGGAAAAGGTATTTAAATGTATAAATGTTTTTAATAAAGAGAACGGGAAATAAATTATTCTGCATACTCTGGTCTAAGCCAAGGAAACAATTTGAAAAAATTCCACTTAAATGGATGTGAAGATTTTTTTCTGATTTCCCACGTGGGTTACCACAAGAAGGTGCATACAAATACTGTGCAAACTGTTCTCAGAGGTGTGAATGTAGAAAGCAGAAAGGCATCTATTGAGGATCTCAGTGTATCTAATATGTTCTCAATGTAAGAGGCTCTGGAGCCTCTTTCCAGTCCTCTGTAGCAAGGTTCTGCAAAACTCTGCCCTGAAAAGCACTGGTGCATGCCATGGCCCTGAAAACACGTGTCGAAGGATGCTTTTATGCTGAGTGCTGCTCACCAAAAGAAACCTGCACCTCTGAGCAAAGCACCTCTGCCTAATTATTTGATTTCTCCTCGGGAGCAAGTATCTTCTTTGCAAAAGAACAGCCTTGCTTCAAAGATATTCAGTCACCACTATCTCCAACAAAAAGAAATAGCTTTCAGAACTATGAATTTCAGCTAAATATTCAGATCAGACGAAGGGATGGCATTGACTTTTGTCAGACTGACTTTGCAACAAATGGAGTGGGTCGTTAGTCCAGAGAAATAATGGTTATACTTTATCCTTACACAGTGCCTTTCTTCTAAGAACCTCAAAACTTTACAACTTTATTGCACAATTAATTCCTCATCAGATAGCTGGCAATCTCACAGTATTTTGAAGAACAGGATGGTGAAGAGTTCTGTTTTGCTGAAGTGTTTATCATATTCATCCGCGACTGAAATTAAAGAAGTCTTACTGAGATAAATGAAAACCAGAAATGCTAAGAGTCCTCAAATCAGTTCGTTTGTAGCTTTTGCAATTAGTCAAAAAGGAATAGAAACCTAGAAATACAGGTTTGTCTTTTTATAGCAACTGTTGCTAGTGGATGAGTCATCATAGTACTTGAAGCACGATTGTTCATAACAATGATATGGACCAGAAAGATATCACACTTCTTAGAACAAATAGACTTCTTACAAACGTTATGATTATAACTGCTTTCCTGGCAAGTTTCAGACATGCAACCATGATATTGAAATTATAAGAGTTACTTTAAAAGTCACTTGCACAAAACAAATAATGTGTA